GAATCATTTTTATTTTTGACATATTCTGCTAATTTTATGATTGATTGTTCATAAGTTGTCATTACTTCGAAAAAACCTCTTCCACCATTTTTTCTATCAATGTATAATCTATGCTTATCTGCTTTTGGGTAACATTGCATCTCCTTGGAATATTCCCCTTGTCCCCTTGTTATTTTGATTATTCCTGAACTAAAACATGCTTTTTTATGCCATAACATCAAAATCGTTCTCCATTGATTGTTCTATAAAATTGATGATAAAATTAGAAATGCCGTCGTGATTTGATGAGCGGGAGTTTTTTAATTTGAGACAACGTAATATTAAAAATTAATAAAGTACGTTCAAAAATTAGTTACTAAATTAATTTTATCATAATTTAGAACATTGATATTTAAGTCACCCAGTATATAAGCATTCTTATGTTTCAAATTTTTACCAAGTCTAATTAAGCTAGAAAAATGTTCAATGTTTGTGCATGTGTCAGAATTAGGAGGCCTATACAATACAATTACAACAATATTATTTTAAACCTTGATAAAAGCTCTACTCCTGTGGATTGATAATCATTTGAAGCTACACTAAATTCATCAAGAATATGGTACTTAAGGTCGTTGCGTAAAAATAAACCAACACCACCACCCCGCTTAAGTGGCCTGTTTATATATAAAAAATTATAGTTTGAAATTCTTATCAACGGAGCACCAGCCTCACTCAGCCATGTCTCTGTGTTTGCAATTATGTTAAATTTTAAATTAATTTGTTCCAACAGGAGTTCAATGGAATCTAATTTGCTACAAATACTTGTAGCATTGATGTGCAACATATTACAATTAAAGCTTTTATCGAAAAATGATGCATTAAATTTTTCAATAGAGAAATAATTAAATGTGTTTTCCATTAGATTAAAAAAATTATTGTCCGGGTCTAACTCTGATTCTCAAACTATTTTTAACAAGAGAGTTTGCACCATGGTTTTTCTCGGTCTGACCATTTTGGGCACTGACGTCTTTTGTTTTTTCTGACTGAAGCGCCACTCACGGACGATAATATTTTTTGGCATTATTTCAGGATTTTTTATTTTTAAACTGTCCGTTGGTTGAGTTAGGGTTAGACTATAAACATTGTCGATTCCTCATTGTCGTTTTTTGGAGTTTCTTGATTGTTGCTTGTTGACGTGTTGTTCACGCTTCAAAACTGGGAAGCAAGAAATGACGTTGATGTCGTTTGACGTTAGGAACTCAACATCCTTTTTGTAGCACTTGCGAATGTAGCTAATGCGAGGACGTTTTTATTATCAGTGGTTTGTTCGCTTGGAGTCTCAAATTATTGACAACGCTCCACCAATAATTTTGGTTGGTGCTTTCTTTGGGACGTCAGTATTAAGTTCGACGGCGTTGTTACTATTGGTTTAACTGCGAGTGGTGCTGCTGTTGTCTGAACGTGGACGCTTATTTTTGCGCAGTACGAGACTGGACGGTAAGTTCTCCACTGGTGTTTTCACTCTATTTGACCATAGGTTTTTATTCTGTAGCATGTTGACTTGCTGCGCGTTGTTTGTCGCTGGTATTTTGTTGTTGACATTTTTACTATTTTTGTTTACATACATACATACATACATACATACATACATACATACATACATACATACATACATACATACATACATACATACATACATACATACGTACGTACGTACGTACGTACGTACGTACGTACATACATACATCATACGTACATACGTACATACATACATACATCATACATACATACATCATACATACATAAATACATACAATCCCCTAAAATCCACTCTGACCAAGTGATGGAAAGCTAAGTCCTTTGACTCAAATACTTTCATGGTGGCCCTATACCGTGAATCATTGGCCGTTCAAAGCGCTGAAAAGAAAACTAATAAAAGCTTGTGATGCAAGTATGCACCGTAAGCATTATGTAGACGGGGAATCATCATTTCACTGGTGGAATGGCAATATAGATGCACTTCGAAAACAATGTCTTAAAGCGGGAAGAGCATTACAGCATGCCTGAAAGGAAGTAAATTACTTGAAATTAAAAGCAGTGTACAAGAAGACTCGCCTAGAACTCAACAAGGCTATTAAAAGTAGTAAAAGAAAATGCTGGTTGGAGCTCATCAACGAAGTGGAAAAAGATCCATGGGGCCGGCCATACAAATCGGTTTTGCTACATTTGAAAGGACAACCAATGCCTTCGCCCACATGCCCACAACTTTTAAAAAAGATTGTGGTTAAATTTGTTTCCTTAACAAAATAGGAACTCTAATTGCACAAAACAATATGAGACTACCGATGTTCCACTAGTCACGTAAACTCAATTGATGGAAGCCTGGAGCAGAATCAAAAATAATAAAGCTCCGGGTTTAGATGGAATTCTTAACAATGCCTTGAAGACAGCTCTAAAAGAGGCACCGGAACTATTCCTGGATGTATATAACGCATGTTTTAAAGAGGGAGTATTTCTAGATAGATGGAAGCAACAGAGGCTGGTTTTCATTCCTAAAAGGAAGAAGCCGCTGGAAGACCCATCATCTTACCGCCTATTATGTATGCAGGACACAGCTAGGAAAATATTGGAAAAAATTATCTACCAAATGATTGAACAAAAAGTAGATCCCCAATTGATTGACAACCAGTTTGGTTTTCGGAAAGGCCGCTCAACGTTAGATGCTGTCGGAAGTTTAGTTCAAAAAGCTAGGGATGCCATTGCAAAAACAAAGAACGGAGGAAAATTGAAGTATTGTCTGGTGACCAGGTTGGACATTAAAAATGCCTTTAACTTTTTCAATTGGGACTGCATTCTGCATGCTCTTGATGAGTTGGATGTGACATTATTCTTACAACGAATGGTAGCAAGCTATTTCATAGAAAAAATACTGAGGTATGACACAAAAGCAGGACCACAAAAATACAACGTTGCGAGGGGAGTATCTCAGGGCTCAGTACTAGGACCTCTCCTGTGAAATATTATGTATAACGGCCTGCTGAGATTGAAACTGCTATCGGATGCCAGCTTAATGGCATAGGCGGATGATGTGGCCATGGTTGTCGTCGCGAAGCATCGCAAAGAAATAGAATACATTTTTAACATCTTTTTTGCAAAAATTATTGAATGAATGAATTCAGTCCATTTGGAACTGGCAAAACACAAGACGGAAGCGGTGCTTATTACAGGAAGAAGGCAGGCAAAAATCATTACACTGTCACTTAGAGAACAGAAAGTAACGACACAGCCCTACATACGGTATTTGGGGGTGATGATTGATAGTCGACTTAATTTTAAACAGCAAGTTGAACAGGATGCCAGCTTAATGGCATAGGCGGATGATGTGGCCATGGTTGTCGTCGCAAAGCATCGCAAAGAAATAGAATACATTTTTAACATCTTTTTTGCAAAAATTATTGAATGGATGAATTCAGTCCACTTGGAACTGGCAAAACACAAGACGGAGGCGGTGCTTATTACAGGAAGAAGGCAGGCAAAAATCATTACACTGTCACTTAGAGAACAGAAAGTAACGACACAGCCCTACATACGGTATTTGGGGGTGATGATTGATAGTCGACTTAATTTTAAACAGCAAGTTGAACATGTGTGCACTAAAGCAACTAAAGTGAGAGTAGCCCTGTGAAGATTAATGCCTAATGTGGGAGGTCCAAAACAGAGCAGGATGGTGTTACTGTCTTCTGTAGTCACGTCGATATTAACTTATGGGATTCCAGTCTGGGCCGATGCACTCACAACCCATGACATGCAAAGAAAACTTTCGTCGTTTTATCGAGGAAGGGCTCTGAAAATTACATGCGCTTTTTGCACGGTTTTTGAAGCAATTTGTGTTATTGCTGGCGTGTTACCCTTTATAGAACTGGCCAGTAAAAAGTAGATTTTATATCAACGAAGTAAAACAACTACCCTGAACAAAGATGAACTCAGAATAGAGGAGCGACCATATAGCATGCAACGATGGCAAATACTATGGGACTCAGCAACAACTGGCAGGTGGACATACCTACCGTCTCATGCCGCAAATTGATGTTTGGCTAAACCGAAACTATGGTGAAGCTAACTACTACCTGACGCAGATGCTTTCGGGTCATGGAAGTTTTCGGGCGTACCTACATCGCTTCGGGCATTATGTTCCACAGAATGCCCATCCTGTCCATGAGAAAATGAAGATGCGGAACGCGCATTCTTCAAGTGCCCTCGCTTCCACAGGTCTAGAGAAACTTTGGAAACTGTTGTTCTCCACCAGAGAATCCAGCCAGAGAATATAATTAAAGCTATGCTCTCATCAAAAACTGGGTGGGATGCAATTAATGCTTTTGCGTTCGATATCCTTCAAAAGTTGCGCATCATAAAAAGGCAAAGGATAAATATTAATTAAAGATAGAAGGTTGAAGATAGTCATTCAAATGTTGCAATTTTCTTTAAAACAGCTAACCTTGGCCCTCTTTACTCTGTTTGATTATTTACCGATTGCAGGTTCGATTTCAGGAACAAGTAAGACCCAGGGCCTCCTGTAACATTGTAACTGGGTGACAAAAATGCTACCCAGCGTTGATTTTTTGTCGCCCAGTAATGTTGATTTCGTGCCACTGGATGACAGCAATTTTGTATTACAATTTAATTACGAGAAAATTGATTTTCAAAATTATAAAAGCTGGCTTCATACATTTATATATAAGCATATAAATCTGATGTATCAACCAACATCAATTAATTCGTTGTATGTTTTTTCAATCCTTATATATAAAATATCTTTGGTTGCTTTCCTTGACGAGACGACGGAGTACTATTTAAAAAATTTTCTGATTTAAATAATTACAACAACAATGGTTCAAATTTGAAGAATAGAGAAGTCTTTTTTCTTTTGTTAAATAAATATTTTGTTAAATAAATTATATTTTGATAGCATTTTTTTACAAATTTGAAAGTATTTCTCATAATTTCGCCGGGTAACGTCACTAATGACTAATCACACGTACGCGTAACGTAAACGAAACCAAACGTAAAAAACAGTTCAAAATTCAAAGGCACATAAATTTATAATTTGAAATGTATATAGATAATAGGGTTAAATGAAATCCTGACCGGTACAGAGAGATATTATCATTTGTGTCCAAGCATGAATTGAGCAGAGTTATTCAAGCATTGAAAATCGCAGACTGTGTCGCTCTGCAAATTGACAAATCTGTTGATAAATACAATGCTGACAGTCTGTTTGTTACTTCCCGATACATGGACAACACTAATTTTGAGATGAAAGCTAGTTTTCTTGGCAAATGCCACAGTGAGTTAAGAGGAGTAATTGGGATGGTCGATGCTTTGCAGAAACGTTTCCAGTATCTTAAAATTGAAGATGTCATTAAAGCAAAGATGGTGGGTCTCACGACAGATGGGGAAAATTCAAATACTGGACGTCACGGAGGGTTGTGGTTAAAGATGTCTGAGTATTTAGGGCACAACATGTTGACATTTTAGTGCATAGCTCACAAATCTGACCTGGCTTTTGAAAGCGTTGAAAACGTGGTTCCGGAGTTTCGTCATTGGTTAACAGATGTAAAAAATGTCGCTACTTATTTTCGTGGATCAAGCTACCGACAAGAAAACCTGCATGAAATTGCTGCAAGTTTGGGTGAGACTGCTAAACATTTTCCACGGCATCATGAAGTTCGTTTTGCGGAACACCTTGCCAATGTTGTACTTGCAGTTCTGTCTAATCATCAGATGATGTGCGCTCACTGGAAACAGTTGTACAACAAGATGAAAATAATGAAAAACAAAGCAAGAGGTTTTCTGAAGGATTGGTCCCAAACTTCATTCAACTTAAACATGAGTGCTGTTGCTTTGGATATCTTGCGACAGTTCACTTATTTACAAAAGGAAGCTCAACGCACGTTTATTACCTTGGCTGATTTGATGCAAAAACGCGACCACGTACTTCAGCGTCTTTCCATGATAATAAACAGTTCATATCCTGGGGGATATGAAAGAAAGTTACAAATTAATAGTGGACTTGCATCTACACAGTCACTGCAAACTGAAGCAAATGATAATCAATTTCAGAGAAATGTGACAAACTTGTATGTTACAACACGCAATAGAAATTTTGAAGCAGTGCGTCTTGAGGTAATCACATGTGCAAAAAACTTCCTTGAGAAAAGGTTGGATGTCGATCAGGATTTACAAGTAAAGGCAATGATTGATGTTGCCAATGCTGAAAATGCTGAAGCAATGATCAAAGCCGGTCGGCAAATTGTATCAGATATTTTTGGTGATAATTATGTTTCAGAATTTGTAGATGATGCTGTTGGTTACTATTCATCATTTGGTGCTTCATCTTTTAAGCCGCATGAAAGCAATACTGCCAAGTTGTACTTATTGCTACAAAAAACAACATCGTCGTCCCTTTTAAACAAGCTGGTTCAAACATTTCTTATAACTTGCCCTCACAGCATGATCACGGAACTGGTAATTTCATGGCATACAGAATTAAAAAGCGACCTTCGATCATCTATGTCGAGAAATACTGTGAATGACCGATTATGCATTGCTTTAAATGCTATAGGTACCGCAAATTTTGATCCTCGGCCAGTGGTGGCTGATTTTCTTTCTTCAAAAACGAGACGATCGACTCTACCAGATGATGAACTTTACCAAAACAGGGAATTTGTAAAAAAGTTTTTTAACACTGAAAATAACTTGTGATTAGCTAATTTAACATCAATTGTTTTTTTTTTGATACTGTGTCGTTAATAAAAATAATATCACTTATTTCAAATTGACAAAAGAGTTAGTGCATGTGCATTTTTAACGCATCAACATTTACATAAACAAAATCATGAACAATTTTTTATTGACAATTTAAATTAGACGTTTTGTCATTAGCACATTCCTGGTTCAAATTAGCTTATTCCTTAGGCTTGTAATCTGTTTTTTCCGCAAGATTGAAGAATTGTATTCTTCCATGAAAAAAACTTCATTTTCATTAGAAAGTTGATGCAATATCTATTAGGCACCCGTGATTTGAAAAAAATTGATACTATAATTATCATTTCCAAAACTTTTAAAACTTTGTCACCTAGTGAAAATTTCTTAGATGAGGCTCTGCTGTGTGAGAATGACTCTGTGTCCATTGTTCGATTTACCTCGGAGCAAATGCTTAATGTGGTTTGGCACGAGGTTTTCATTATAACAAATTTGGTTGAATGTTCTTGCCTATTTTGTATTAATTAATTTCTTTTGGGTTTGTTCAATAAGACGCAATTGTTGTAACTCAATTTTATTAAACTCGTCAACCATTTCGAACGGCTGACTTGTTATGTATGTATATATATATATATATATATTCAAATCATTTTCATATCATTTATTTAATGGAAAGCCAGATAAGTTAGAAATTTAATTTGTGGATAGGCCACCCTTAACTAAAATCATAACGTTCATGAAAAAGAAGTCAGATAGGTAGACTACATCAAATTTAATTATTTAACATAAACAGAAATTATTCTGTGCAAGCATAAAAACAAGTTTGATCATCACAAAAACTGAAACCTAGAAGGTGGTGTCGGGATCCAACTTGAAAAGTAAATTGGCAAATTTTTAGATTATTATATATAGATATTTGTACGGAAACAAATTAGACCATATTGTAGGTCCGTGCGTTTTGAACATGAAGAGATTAGTTTGAGTCGAGTTTTGTAGTTGTAAAAAAAGAGGGGTGTGTCTAGCTAAAGCAGTTTTAATTAAGTGACTTTGTGTATAAAAATTTGAAAATGTTTTTGGAAGCAAACTGTTCAGATATTTGAATACAAATATTGTAGAAGTATAAATGTAAAGAAGGTTAATGGTCATAATTTTATGCTTGATATAATAGGATTTTGTGTGTGAAAGAAGTTTGAGGTTAACGTTTTTGTGACAAATGTAGAATGAAAAGGTGACGTTTTGGGCTATTTCCCCATAAAGAATGCAGTAGGTCAGATAAGGTTAAATGAAAGCATGTGATCATGGACGATTGGTTTAGCTTATATTTAATTTTGTAGAAAAGGCCACAGTTTATTTATTTTGTCAATTATATTTAGTATAGGAAGATTTTAAAAAAGATTTTAGGTAATTGTTATTCCTAAAAATTTCGTGAAAAAAACTTTTGTTATTGGAACGTTGTTTATTTTGAGGTTTAGGTCATGAGTAATTTTCGGTTCAAATATCATCTACTGAGATTTTGTGTCGTTTAATTTTAATCTGTTGGATAAGAACCAGTCAGAATATTTTGTAAGCTTAAGATTTATTGCATCGGAGGATGTGGAGATATTTTCCGGAGTAAAAATTAGATTCGTGTCATCCGCGTACAGTATGCATTTGGTAGCGGAGAAACATTGCCAGTGTTATTTATTTAAACAAGAAATAATAAAGGTCCTAGAATTGAACCTTGAGGTACTTCCTTTGTTATTAAAATTTTGAAAAAACAAAAATTTTCAATGTAAACATATTGATGACGAGAATTCAAATAACTACCGAACCAGTCAAGAGCGGTTTCTCTAACACCGTAATGATTAAGTTTTTTCAATAGTATATTATGATCAATCATATCGAAAACTTTGGAAAGATCAAGGAATATACTTATCGAAAGTCTTTTGTCATTTAAATGGTTTAAGATATATTGAGATAAATCCAGAAAAGCCAGCTCAATAGAGAGCTTCAGGTGAAAACCGTGCTGATTATATTGATAGTATTACTGATAATACTGATAGTATTGTGAAGATTGAAAAAAGAAAATAGCCTGTTGAACATAATTTTTTCAAGAATTTTAGACATTAGTGATAGGAGAGATATTGGTCTGTAATTATTTACATCCTCTTTATTTCCTTTTTTATAGACATAAATAATTTTTGAAGTCTTGAAATGTTCAGGAAATATACCAGTTTCTAGTGACAAATTAAAAATATGTAGTAATGGCTCTATTAAATTATTAATTATATTTTTAACAAGAAACATACCAAGGCCGTCGTCCGCATAACTTTTCTTTCCTTTCAGTTTACTAACGGTAGAAACCATTTGTGCCTATCAACTGAGTATAAGGGGATAGTGTTGATGTTAAGTGGTGGCATAAGAGATATTGGATTAGTTATAGTTATTGATGAGTTTTAAGTTTTCATTGCCTGAGTTGAAAAAAATTATTATTCGGGATATCACAAATGTTACTTTGTTGTCTGTTACTTGATTGTTAATTTTAAATTTTGAGATTGAAGATCCAGAAACTCTTTTATTTAAGGCTTCTTTAATTAAATTCCATTTGTTGCTAATATCTCCGGGATTATTGAATTTTTTAATATAGCAATCACGTTCAGCTTTTCTTTTAACCATCGTGAAATAATAGCGATGTTTTTATATTACAGTATATTTTCAGGTGTAAGGTTTTTTAGACTATATAATTTGTTTTTTCTTTTAGATGATTTTAAAACATAAGTGTTGATCCAGCAGTTTTTCTTTGAAAGTTTGAAAAAGTTTCAAAAGTGTTTATAGTCTTTTGTAAGATTGAGTAAAATTTTGAGCAGCAATTGTTTACATTATTAAAAATTAACACCGTTGACCAGTCTTGTTTGTTTAAAAAATTGTTTATACGACTGATTGCATCAAAATTAATATTTCTAAATGGCTTGACCTTGAGTGTTTTAACCCTAACCCTAAACCTAAGAAAGTTTGTATATTATATATATATTTATTTATTTATTTACAAATCTAACAGACCACTTACCCAGAATAGTAAAAATATAATCTGATTTCCACAAAAAAAATAACGTAACGTCATGAAAAATGTACAGATCTATATAAAAATGTTAATGCCGATATCATCAATCAACGTCATCAAATTAATCGTCAAAACTAAGGTTGAAACCAATAATATATGAGTGTTAATGACAGTATCATCGTCATCCACAAACATTAAAATAAACTAAAGAAAAATGTAGTTGAAATCATGATAAATAAGGATAAGACAACAAAAAGTTCAACGTTAGTTGACTCCAATCGATAACATTGATGCAACATTTAATATCGTAATCATTTTATAGTAATTGTATAATAAATTTTACAAATAATAATATCATAGTTATTTGATTATTAAATATGTAGTGTTATAATACTCGCTGTCGTAACCGGTTTACGATGCGACGGGTTCAAATCCTCGATTGAATAAAATACTCCAAACAGTTATTAAACTTTATTTACAGAAGAAATCAACTATTATTAGTTATTAAACTTTATTTACAGAAGAAATCAACTAATCGTTTATTTCCAGTAAATTCACACTAACGCAACAATTAACTTTAAATACTTTCAAAATCTATCGCTATGACAACGTCAACAAACAAATCAAATATCGCTTTAAATAATTCATCGAATCGCTATTCACAAAATCACGAATTTCACTAATCACAAATATCACTAATCACAAATATCACCAATCACAAATATCTTGCGACGTGCGCTTATATACTCTTCGCAAGCGTCGTTTCTAGATTCTTCCCGATGGTCCGATTCCAGCATACTCTAGAACGTTCCAGTCACTAGAACATTCTAGAATACGCTAGAATCTAGTGCGTTCGGTAGCACGGTTATAACATTACCCCCTTCTTAGTTCTGTTCGTCCCGAACAGCTTTCGTTCCGGTGTCATTCAACGTTCGACGTCATTCAAGCGGGTGATGACTTGATAAGGTCCTTCCCACCCTCGCTGGAGCTTTGGAGAACGTCCTTTCTTCCGCTGTGGGTTGTACAGCCAAACTAACTCGTCGACAGCAAAACCGCCACTGCTTCCTTTCAAGTCGTATCTGGTTTTGGCCGCCTCCGTGTTTTTCATAATTTTAAAGCGTACGTAACGGTGGATATGGTTTAATCGCTGTCGAAGATTATCCACGTATTCTGTTAATGGTTGGTGTGGTTCGGGTGGTACGCCATATTTCACATCAGCTGGAGTTCTTAAGGTAGTCCCAAACAGAACTCTTGATGGCGTTTCTCCAGTAGTTGTGTGGATAGCACTCCGGTATGCCATAAGAAACAATGGTATATGACGATCCCAATCCCGTTGATTTTCGTCGACTACTTTAGCCAGATGTTCAATCAGGGTTTGGTTGAATCGTTCCACCATACCGTCAGACTGTGGGTGAAGAGGTGTCGTTCGAGTTTTGTTTATACCTAGCAGCTTGCACATTTCACCAAACAGTTGTGACTCAAAATTTCGACCTTGATCTGAGTGGAGTTCCAATGGGACACCATATCGACTAATCCAATTGAGTACAATTTCCTCAGCGACGGTACATGCTTCTTGGTTGGGTATTGGAAACACCTCAGGCCATTTGCTGAAATAGTCCGCTACAACCAGAATGTAACGGTTTCCATAATCTGATACCGGAAAGGGTCCAGCAATATCTATAGCAATCCGTTCAAAGGGAACACCAACATTGTAGATTTGCATTGCTCCTTTTAGCCTTCTTTTGGGTCCTTTGACTGAAGCGCATGTGTTACATTTTCGACACCAGCTCTCTACATCTTCTCTAACGTGAAGCCAGTAAAATCCTTCTCGTATTTTGTCAAGGGTCTTGTTCACTCCTAAATGTCCCCCAGAAGGGCCGCCATGCATTTCATCAAGGATTTCGGTCGTTCTATTTCTTGGTATTACAACTTGCATGCGGTGTTTTGATCCATCAGCTGA